ACAAATACACCGACCGAAGTTTGCAGTTTACAAAACACCAAAAGAATGATAAACAACTCTATATATACGCCGTATCATATATATTTATTTTATTTTAATTTGATAAAATATAAGCAACGATAAGATTACGGAAAAGCGGAATAATACTATGTTATAATTAAACTTTATTATTATAACAAAACTGATATATATAATTATTCTAATATCATTTATTATATATTGCTTTTGTTAAAATAAGAAATAAGTATACCACGATAAAGAAACTAAAAAAAAAATATGGTAAAAAATTATTGTCTTCTGATAATCAACCAACGAACCCTAATGCATGGTATGCACTTCTAAACGAAGGATAAACGACTCCACCAACAGTCCTAATATCATCAAAACTACGTGGACCCCTAACTATGTCCAATAATAGCCTCAGATAATACTCTTCTCCGTACTCTGTCGGCGATTCGTCCACAACACAAGCACCAGAATTTCCTTTTAGTCTTGGCCTCCATGTCCTATTTTTACGATCCCATACAAACATAGAAGGAATCTCCGAGTATAAAAGATTCCTTGCCTCTGGATAAGACTGATTACACCTAAACCAAGCAAGGAATTTAGGTTTTCTAGCAGCAACACGTCTATCTAAATTATTAGAAAACACAATATTTTCCCCCGGGAGATGAAACGGCATAACTTGCCAATTAACACGTGGTCGCCTGTGAGCACCTAGACATGTACAATAGAACAACAATCATATATACAATAAGAATACCGTAAAGAAAACTAACGATTAGTGACGTCCTCAAAAACGTAATATAAAACTCATTTACCAAACGCTTCCATCGAAGAACCCGAATGCAAACAATTGTAACAATGCAGACTGATAACTCGTGAAGTCGCGATAGACGCATATATATACCTATACCAAAATATATGCATATATATAGAGATATAAGAATTATGTGGTTTACGCGTTGTTTATTTTTTTTCTAGGGTTTCTTAGAATGTTTTCTTTTATTTACATTTTATACCCCTCTCAACTACCGAGTTTTTCCTTTTTAATAAGTAAGTAAACAATTCATTCAAACACCATGATTTTCATAGCTACTAAATGAAAAAAAAAACAAAAGTTGTGGTATGATCGGGGATATATTCGAATCCTATTAGATATTTATAAATATGAGTTACTTGGAGTCCAAGAAATCAATAAAATAATCCATTCAAACACCATGATTTTCATAGACACTAAACCCTAAAAAACTAAAAGTTGTGATATGATCGGGGATATATTCGAATCCTCTTAAATATTTATAAATATGAGTTACTTGGAGTCCAAGAAATCAATAAAAACATGCGCTATTTATGTGAATATATAACTTATATTATTTTCTCCGCTTTCTATACTTCAATATCAAACAACAATAATAATTACATTAAAAAAATATATTTATTGATTGAAATAAAGAGGTCTGAAGAACAAAGAATAATTAAACTATAATTTGTATACATGGTAAATCATTTTTTAAAATGATATTCAATGTAGACGTCATAACACTATTCAATGTAGACGTCCCACACTACCACGCGTGCATGGCCTCTTACGCGGATATCTGCATTGTTATAAAAAAGATTTGAGAGAGAGAAGGCGACCACGAATTAATACTAAAAAGTCAAAATACAAACATTAAGTATTAGAAACTCACTGTTCCAAAAACTCATCTAACTCAGGAATACGGGGATTGAGTTCGAACTTAGTAGGAGATGTGGAAGATATAGTGATCTTGCCTATGTTGATAAAACAAATACAGAGTCAAAACAATAAAACGAAATGAACATAGAGAATATAAATTAGTATACTAAAAATACCTCCAAAATAATCAGTAACGGCCCATCTAAGCACACACACAATGATATCTTGATCACAGCGTCTCCAAGATGCATAAAAGTTTTTCGCCATCTCACCGAACAATTCACAACTCAAATCAACACCACTAAATTAAAACATGCCACACATATTCAGATGGATAGAATAATTAAAACGACATTATATAGTTTAAAACATTCAGCAGACAGTACCGTTTATCTCTAAGACAGAACGTGACGGTTGAATATGAACCCATATCTCAGAATCACATATATCATTACATAGACTGTCATATGAAGGAAAAGAATGCTCTCCAGTCAGTAAACCACATGACGTCCCAGATAGTCTTACATTTAAGACACGACCTATCAAATCTTCATAGACAACAAAAATTAAACAATGTTAACATCAGTAAGATAATAATAACGAAATTCAATAATTAAATCGAAAATAAACACACCAACTAAATAGTCATCATCATGGGCACGATCCAATATCCTTTGAAAATCAACGAAGTCAAAATAGGCAGTTTCACATCTTCGTGAAGTCTTGTCAATGATAGTTGATGGTAGGAACAATATTTTGTATCTATGAGAAGTCGGTCTACAACTATCCTCACAATCGATAACAGAAAAACGACTGATAATAATCCAACTACCAACATCTATGCGAGACGATGCAACACTGATCTCACCATCACTAACAGTGGCCTGAATTTTTACACCCTGTGAATAAAACAGTCAATTAGACACCGACAAAAATTTAGAATATTTTTGTGTACTAGTACAATAAATACCAGTTCATCCGACAATATGAGCTCCATGGAAGAACGTTTCGAAATTAGCATATGCACCCACGTTTGTAAAACCTTAACAAAGATAGTACAACCATCTTTGGAAGGACTCAAACGTGAAACACACCTACCAAAACACATTGAACCAAGAGAAACTGTATAAGTACACACCGAATCCTGGTGTCCAGATATACTAATATTCTTTTCGATGAGTATATCACTCAGTTCGACGTTTCGCTGATCTTCACTATCATCGTCAATATCAGTCTCATCATCCAACATAACATCTTCATCATCATTTTCATTATCATCAGTTGAATCGGCAGGGTCACCATCTTCATCTTTGTCATCACCGCTATCATCTTCTGAGCTATCACTTGAACCATCAGATTCTTCACAAGTCTCATCGTCGTCAATAAAATCATCCTCAGAATCATACTCATCTGTTTGGTCCATATCATCAGTATCTTCACCCGTCTCTGAATCAGACCCCATATAATCCTCAAAACCATAGTCATCATCAGTACCACGACCCGATAAAACCTCGGTATCATCAGAGTCACTATCTTCTACATAGATAAATATATGTAAAAACGGTGTAATTAGTATTCTAAAAAAACAAAAAACAGTGTTCAAAACAAAAAACAAAGAATTGAAACCATTAGATTCTTTATTCATAACCCAAGCATTCCTCGCAAAATCCCATAGAAAAGTCTTCTGAGCATGATCACTCGTATTAACACGATCAGAACCTAAATGCACAAAACAAACATTAGAACAAACATAAATACTTAATATACATCATTAGCAAAAATATATTACATTAAGAGCAGAAATACCTCCTTTGATAAAAAGCTCGTGATCAAGAATAGATATATGATACGAAGAATCAATATCTACATAAAAATTGAAAACGTTCATAGATTAATATATAATAAGGGTATGCATCTGAAAGGCTAAGATATAGCATTACAAAAGGTAAAAACTGTAAGATTAATAGACAGAACTACCTTCGATAACAGGATTATATGTCCGCAAGGTCCATTCATCGATAGCAGAATCGATAAGTAGCTTGCATGGATAACCTACAAATACAAACAACTACTAATAAGTATTATAAATTGAATGAATAACCTAAAGAGGTTCAACAACCTTTTTTTTGTGATATCCACGAAAACGTATGGAGTCACGTAACGATAATCAGTCATGTCTTTGTTATCCATATTCTGACGATGCGATTTCAACACAGACTTTAACCCGCGAGCATAAGCCTGGTTATCAAAACCTATAGTCGTATAAATTTTTAGAATTCATCTAAAAAAATTGAGAGCATACATACTATTATTAAATTTGATAATAGTTATACATATATACCAGAATCAGTAGACAGAACTTCCCAAGTGATGATGACTTTAGATGGATGATTAAAGCTGTACTTAGACGAACACATTGTTAGCTTTGCATGCAAATAGACAAACATGCTGAATCTTTTCTAAAGAGATCCAAAAAGTTAATCCTATTATAAAAACCCTAGCAAAATAATCACGGAACCCTAATAGAAAAACCTCATATTTATACGTCTAAACAACCTAGGGTTTATTTTCTTGTGAAAAATACTAAAATGTAATTATTGATCTATATGCGATATTATCTTCCCATGAATTTCGTAGTTATTAATAATAAAAATGTAAAGATTCCTTTCTAGATAATAACAAAGAAATTATGGAATATTCCCTTTTATAAAATATTTAATAAACACAAAATATTTCCAAAAATCGAATTATAACTAAATTCTAACAATTAAAATTAAAAAAAAAAAATCTAATCACAGGATTCGAACCCGTGAGCCTTCGATAAATGGACAAAACACTTAACCAACACAGCTACCATCTCATTCAGCACAAACGACGTATTGGAAGGTATGTATAATTTTTTTGGGTTTGAAATTTGAGCCAAGTTATTCGAGAGAATAGATTATGGCCGAGACCCTTTTTACCTGAATTAAAGAAGTTTTCTATTTTTAAATCAACTAATATCGATTTTAATGATTTAAAATTAACTAATTCAACCAATCAAATTATAACAATTATCAACCAATCAAATCATCAGAATTTCATTAATCAAAACGACACAAAAAATTGTACATTAAACCACAGACGAATTCACTTCGCAAATACTAATATAGATATATTTTTTATTTATTATTTTTTTTTTTCCTTTTTCTTTTGTTAACAATTATTTCGGATTACAGACAGTCTTCGGAGAACTTTGCAATTCCCTCTTCTTCTTCCTTGAACTGCACGATTCAAACTACTTTCCTTAGCCTGCGAACTTCTCCTAAATCCGATAATAATGGATGTTCTTAGAAGAGCAGAGGTGATCGATAGCAAGAGTTGCTCGAAGCTGCGCGTGGATTTTACGACCTCTCGACGTGGCGGCCGCACGTCGGAGCCTGTTTCTCCGGCCACCACCTCTTCCCGGTTACAACCAGCGGTTCGATCAGTCGGTCCTTTTTCCGGTCTAGTCATCAGCGTAACCGGTCTCTCTGAAGGTACATTCCACATCTCATTGTTGCTGTTTCTTTCGGAATTTTGGTTATGTGATTTGATTTCTCGATTCGCGAGTAGAACCTTTGAATAAAAACTTGATTTCTGCTCTAAAATCAAAATTTTCGTGAATCGAATTTGAATCCAGGTTTGCTTATAACCAATCGGAATTTCGTAATGAAATCTGAGCTGTTTTTGTTGAAATTGAGGATCAATTATTGTTATGTAGAAGCAAGGAATCAGGTTAAGGAAGCTACAGAGAAACTTGGTGGTGAATACAGTTCTCTTTTGCATTCTCTGTGTACCCATTTGGTCGTTCAGATATCCTTTCTTTGGACTTTGTTTGTATTCAGTCTCAAAACAACATAATTATAGGATTTGTGATCTCTGTGACGTCTGTGTTAGTTCTTTAACGTAAGTTTACAGCTACGATGGACGCAAGTTTGAACATGCCTTGAAACATGGGAGAAGAGATAGCCTACATATCGTTACGCTTGGTTGGTTTGTGGACAGCGTTCGCAGAAATGGTGAGTTTATGTCTTAACGCGAGTTTGAGCCAACCTGTGATTGATGTTTGCTTAGGATTGGAAATAAGAACTTGATTATTTATCAAGAAGTGATTTGGCTGTAGTTAAGTTGTGCGAGTCTTCCTACACGGTGAAAGATCCTGAAAAACCAGAAAGAATTGTTCAAGGAACAGAGTTCACAGAGAGCAAAGACTTGGCTTTGTCAGGCTATTCAGTTTTTATCGATCCCGATGTTTCAGATGAAGTAAGACGACGGGTTAGTCATCGACACACAATGAGACTTATCTGGTTGTAGCAAAGACCATTGCGCAACAAAGGTATTATACTTTACATTTCCAAGTATTGCAGGTTTCAAAGGTGAGTGTTGAAGGTGGTGCCAAGCTCATGAATCAGTGGTTTATTGGATGTAATGCAAGTCATGTTGTATGTGAAGCTGGTTCTGTCCAGAGATATCTGGGTCACTCGAGCCATCTTGTTACAGTAAGCTTCGTGTTCCATCTTGTTACATATAACAACACATTATGCAAAATGTGGCCTGCTTCAGCCACTCTGGCTTCAGAAGACATTGGAAGAGAAACCAACGTAGACTCTAATCCGAATGTCAGCCGATTTGGCAAGGGATCTTAGGTTAATGCTTGAGAATCTTGGGAAGGTAGTCTTCTGGTTGTTTTAGTATTCATGAATTCTCCAGTCTATTGACATTTCCTTCTACAGGAATCCCGCATGGAATGTGTTCCAGGAGATGCCTCGATGTTAAGGACGACGACATGCAAAGAAAGACAGAAGATTGTGGAATCTGCCAAAAAGGCTGTCAGAAATCGCCACGCAAAGGCATTGCATCTCTGTCTATTTGTATGTTTCGTCCCTCATGAACCGAACTTTTCTCTAAACCGCACTTGTTTTGTCTCTTCGAACAGATGGGCAAGACGCTGATCCAGCCGTTAAATCTGAGCAGCCTGCTAGATTCTATTTGCTGGACGATCTCCGAGCCAACCTCAACAGCTACCATTTACACAAATAGTTTCAGCGACATTGAAGATGTTAAAAAAACCGATGATTCATTAACTCAATCTATGAGACTTCTCACAGAAAGGTACCCATTTTCTGCTTCATCTCTGTAACTTGAGATCCAAGCTAATTCCTTTTAGGTATATAAAGCTGATATCGTTTTTTCTTTTTTTGTGTGTTTTCGCATGGCAGTGAGAGAATGGAATTAGTATACAAAAACCACTTTATAACGTTACTACTTCCAGTCGATTGGTATGGTGAGATGGGACCTTCTTCTAGGTCGTATTTCAGTGAAACCGGCTTCACTTGTCAGCAGATTCTCCAACACATCTATTCATTCTATCAGGTGCAATGTCCTAATCAATTTTACTAATATCAGGATCTCATTGGCTAAACCACTTTGAAAGTAGTTTGTGTTTTGAATGTCCTGTCGCAGGAAAACATGTCCGAGGAGGAAATCAAAATAGCGATTCACACCAAATCAAGGTACAGTGAAAAGCTACGAGCAGCGAGCTCGACGATAAAAGGCAGGAAGACTGTATTCAAACGAATTCAGTTTCTCGGATCCCGGAAAGGCTTCGAGATGTTGAAACGTGTTAGTAGCTTCAACTGTAGTAATGTCTACGAGCTTATCATTAAGGCATAACTCAGAGTTTCAGAAACAAAGCCATCTAAAACCTAGACGACACACACTAAACAGTGGATTATTTGGGAGTTTTGGTGATCAGAAGATCCGCTTGAGACCAATAAATGTGAATTATATAGTAATTAACTTAAGAATCGAAATTAATTTTACTTTTGTATGGTGAGTAACTTGCGGCGCTCGAGCTCATAAAGCAGTTCGACGACGGCCGAGTCGAATGAGCTCTTCTTGTCGGGTCTGGCTTCTCCGGCATACATCACAGCCTCACGATTGGGAATCCTTAGAGTTATGGTCGATATGAAACTGCTGCAGCTAGTCCGCTTCTCATTGCCATCTGTGAATTCAAACGGCGTTCTGTGCAAACACACAACAAAGTTTTCAGTTTAAGATTGGTCAGGACTCAGGAGAGTACAAATGAGACAGAAGTGATGAATTCACCGAGATTTCTCTTCGGAGGTGTCGTAAGTAGGCATTGGCCAGAGATGCTTCTTGCAGAACTCATGTAACGTTCCACGAGGCCCGCCTTTCTTCATGTTTATAGGTCCAATAACTGAAAATCATCATATCATGAAATGAAGAACTTTAAAAACCAAATAAAAGTGGTGAAAAATATAAGAATCACAAGGTAAATAACAGTAGATGCAACGCTTACCTGGAATCACCGTACTCATCATTTCGATAAAATCTGAAGACGGAGTTTCTCTGTTGCTATGATTGCAAGCAAGATTGACATCCATGGAGCTTTGATTATCCCCGCTTGAAATTTTACGTGAAATGTTTCTCTTCTGAAGAACCAAAGAAAATTTCAGTAAATGCATACATCACACACACACACACACACACACACAAACACATACAAGTGGAAACATCAGGACTTATACCTCAAGTTGCGTAAGCAGATGCGAAGCTGCTTTCCCCAATGCCAGTTTATTTGTCTGTTCAGATCCATCTCCGGTCAGAAGAACATCGTCCAGTTGCAACTGGATCGTGGCTTGTGCCTTGACACCATCATTTGAGCATTTCACACGGAAGAAATACCCAAGAGAGTCGCATAGCTCATTGAGCTCTCGGTAGGGAGGTAGCTGAAGTTTATCTGGAGTTACAAGTGGAGAAAGCAACGGCTCAAAGACTCTCCACACTTCATCAAGATCTAACCTTGTATCGATCAGCAATGCTCCAGCAATACTCTCCACCACGTCTCCAAGAGCCTAAACCAAAACAGACAAGCATGTCAACATACTTAGCTCTCTTTTTTAAATGGTCTTGCAAGTATGTTGTTACCTTAGGGCCTTGTATTGAAGGGATTGATCTACCAGTCTCATCTGGCTTTGAAAAGGACATCAGATACTCGTTTATTTGAGTCTCAAGAACTGTAGCACAGCGTTGAAGGTGGGTATGCAGATTATGTTTGACTGCAACTTGCGCAAAATTTTCGTTGTTTACACATGCAGAACGAAGATCTGTCATCTCTCCAGGCCCGGTCTGCTCGTAGGTGTTAAAGAGATGACGGGTGATTAGAAAATCCAGTACAGAATCGCCAAGAAACTCCAATCTCTGCTTGAGGTACAACTTACGAGATGAGAAGAGCTGGAAAACAACTCAAACCAGGTTATAACGATTAAGTCAATACCTCATAGGAATAGGATTCATGAACAGAGGAGTGTGTGATAGCCTCTTTTAAAAGGAACTTTGCAGAGAACTCATGCCGTATCTTTTTCTCCAACTCAGAGGGTTCATCGTCTTTAGGGACGTAACACCGTAGAGAAACTCTATTGATGGCTTCAGTCACTAGTTCTGCGTCAAACTCAACGTCAACACCAAGCCATTTCATCATATGAAGAGCTGCACTCAATCCACCGCTAACATAATAGGCACCAATCAGTGCCTCTGCGCAATCTGATACAGATTTTGAAACCGTCCATCTATGTCCCATGTCGCAAGATTTCCCAATTTTTATAGTCATGTTTTCTGTAAAGAATTTTGGGTCCAATGGTACTTCTCTAGTATCAATCCCACACTTGCAAGAAACAGGAAATAGAGAACTTTGACCAGGTGCAGTCCAGCGACGCGGTTCAAAAGCGCCGTTTCTTATGTATCCCTATAAAACCAAAATCCCAATTAAAAAAGATCTTTACTTATATGACATTACCTACATAAATTAGAAGATACCTGTAAGTTGCGATCTGTTGCCAGGCGGTGAAGATTTGAGTTCGATATAATCGATTGCCTCTTTCGCGTAAGTTTTCCCTCGTCTATGGCAGGATACTTAAGGAAGAGAGAACAGCTCACAACATACTTCAAGACTGAATCCCCAAGCAGTTCCAGCCTCTCCATGGAAAATGCTTCAGCGCATGTTAGTGTTGTAAGCGCTTCAAGAACCTAATTCATTGAGCCAATGCAAGGGTTAGTGGAATATCTACTTTCATCTTTAAGTAATAAATAATGCGAAAAACCATACCGATGTACTCGATATACTGAAGTTTTCAATGCTACAATCAATCTCTTCCCTAAGTTGGCTGGCCAACATTAGAGACTCTAGGCGGTGCATCACTGAGGGCAGTAAGTAGATTGATTTCAACACACCACGTGGTACGTCAATTCTGACCAAAAGCTCTGGAGGCAAATGCGCATGGATGTTCGGTTTTTTCTTTCTAGCATTACCAGCCTCTGGTTCTGTCTTCACAATCACTGTCCATTTACATTGAAAACAACATCTTAAAGCTTGTACACTACAATATCCTGTGAACAAGCACAATGTATCCATTCGTTAGAGAAATTCTCAAGAATCAACTTACCATCTTCACTGAAGTTGACTAAAAGGTTGTGCGCATGGTGACTCTGCTTCAATTTCATCAATGGCTGATTCTGGTGCGCCAATACAATCCCATACCTGATGATTAAAGGGAAATGACATAAGTAACGGAAGTATACTGAGAAAACATCCCTTAATAGAATATCACTTACTTTTTATTAAAATATTCTGCATAAGTAGCATATTCTGATGAGGCTTCATCTTCAAATGGGCTCATAGCAGAAGAATCCTTTACCGCTTCAACTATAGAGTATATTCTTCCGGTATGAATTGCAATAACAACAATTTCTCCGAGACTATTTTTATCAGACGAAGCGTTGGCAAAGTGAATCATATTCGTTTCCTTCTTTTCATCCTCGAGTAAAACTTCCTGACTGGATGAGGTGTTGCAGTTATTTCCATCACTAATCTGAAGTTCAAGAAGAAAATTTTTCTTCAAGAACTCAACTACAGAGGCACAGGAGTTGATCGCTGACCAATCAAGTATCGCACTCGAAACTAGCTCATTTGTTTCCACCGGTAGCAGAAGAAACATAAAGGAAGGTTGCCAAAGAGAACTTGTGTCAGTCTGAAGCAAAAATTCTCTCTTTGTTCCCAATGATTTAGATCCAACGAACAATTTTCCAAACATGCCATTGAAGAAAAACTGCTGAAAACACTTTGCTTTGACTAACTGCATGATTTCCCAAGACATGGAGATGAAGACATTAAGCTCAAAGATGAAACAAGAAACCTTATAAATCCGAACGATCAGAGTTTGGGACGTTACCTCTTCTTGACACAAACGTATATGGCCACAAGGTGAGAGAGCAGCCTTCACATACTTCCTGACCAAGTAAAGGCTAATCTCGACATTACCAACATCATCGGCAAGGCTTGACTCAATCAAAAGACAGAAACTCGAATACGCATCCCAAGAAATATTACTACAGAAGTCAAACTTATAAGCCTGAAAGATGGCGCCATCAAGATTTTCTCCCCAGTTTCCTGACAATGCATTTGCACAGGTTGTCCCGTGCAACTCCTTCCGCTTTTTCGAACCTGTCCAAAGAATAAATTATACAAAAAGATTAGGAAAGACCCCATTACCTTAGACATACGCATATAATATAAATCTGCTTATAAAGGAACTAAGACCAAAATCACTGACACCAGTTTATTGAGGAATTAACACAATAATAAAACATACCTGCAGCCGATGAAAATGATTTACTTTTAGAAGAGGCGACCTTCTCTTTGGTGCTGCATTGTAAAAGGCTTTTATTCAATGCGTCCAAATGACGTAACTTCTTACATGCTAACTGCTCATTTCTGTTAGGAGGATCAACTAAAGTTTGAGTGGCAGTTACTTCCTCAACGACAGTGCATCTAGAATCTGGAATAACCGTGTCTCCATTCTCTTTCTGGTCATGTTCATTCATCACTGGAGGTGGACACAGTTTAAAGTTTGGAATTTCTGTATCTTGCGTTGGGACTTCTCTTCGCAGAAGGTCATACAGCTGGTCTATTTGTTTCGGATTTCCCCTACAACAATTAGTATTAAAATGCTGAGCTGCAAAAGAGGGTACTGGATTTCAAAAAACATTGTGTTAATCAACATTGTCTCTTACCTTTCAAGAAACATAATAGACTTAGAGTTACTCTCTTTGGCCAATTCTTGAGACTGCAAGTAACTACACACTGTTTTGGGCAGGTCAAAACATATCATGCATGAGCAATCTGGCACCTGAAACCCCTCTTCAACCACGTCAGTGATAAATAAAAGATTCACCTGCATTGTTCCAAATCTTTCAGCAAAGACAAAGTAGAAACATTTTTCAGTCTGTGAATCGTCTGACTGTGATGAACACATAACCTTTTCAACAAGAAATGAATCAGAGATTTCCATTTGCGTTTTCTGTCCCAATGCATGGGTGGGGGCGTTTTTTCCGACTATATACAAGACATTAAGGTAACCTAAAGAGGCTTCTTTCTTCATAAATCTTTCGATCACCTCGGCAGTTATAAGTCTCTCAAATACAATGAGGCACGGCTTTTGCATTTCACCTCTGCAAGCAAATTAAAGTAATTAGAACAGAAGGAAATTTTTGTTGCAATTTTGGGAATTGAAAATAAAATTACCTAAACGTATTCAATAGATGGAAAAGTTCTTGTAATTTTGGAGATACGCATCCCGAATTCACTGCTGACAGATTGTTTTGCTGCAAATCTACCGAATTCGTATCTTCTGTAAAATCACACAAATGCGGCACAGTGAAAGAAAAAAAAAATTGAATTAGTGACTAAGTGAACTTGTCAATACAAAATAGAGCTTTCAATACAGTACCTTGCTGCACAAACACCTCAAGTGTGGATAAAAAATCCTCAAGAAATTGCTTGCACACCATTGAGCACTCTTTATAAGTTTCACTTTCCTCTTTAACATCTGAGATTTTCTCCAAGCAGACTTCAGCCGCCTTTAATGAAGGCAAGTAAAACAAAAAATACTAATTCAGCACAAGTATGTGCCAATAATAAAAGATAGAAGTGGTATGTGATAGAAAGAATACCAAATGTGCGCAAATCAGGCCAAGATTCTCAAGGCAATGCAAAATTTCTCTGTAGTCAAAGGACAACCGCTTTTGATATGTCTTACACTTATTTTCCATGTAGGGACAATTGCCTTTTTCCATTTCTTGGAGCCTTAACAGCGAAGCATCAAACTGTGGAACAGGATAGAACCATTTTCAAGCCCTCTATAAGATAATAAAGAGCAATGTTCTGGCTCATAGTCAGTAATCTGAGCATATATATATAATACCTTGAGGTGAGAAGTTTCCAGTTTTTCTTTCAATTCCACACTACAGAAGGGTGGTGGGTCATAATATATTGGACCTTCTTCTACTATTGTAGCAAACTTTTCCAGCCCTTTCTGCTCTTCAGGATTAAAAATCTGAATTTTAAAAGTAAATCTTGCATGAACATTAATTCGTGAACCAGTATGAATATCCTTTTTACACAGTAAATAAAGTACCTGGGAGTCCATGAGCGCCTCAAGTTCTGATACTTGATCTGCATTCAAGGCACAGATAACAACTAAGAGGCAGCTAACAAAACTTTTGCAAGACGACAGTAGTATATTTTACTTACATGAGGAACATTATCAGATACGTAAAGCAAGATCATTGGTTGGACATACAGAGGAAAACAGAAACTTAAATAGCATGCCTTTTCTAATAGCGGCCGACGTAGTCAATCCAAATATCTTCGGTTTTTCAGTAGATTTGTGATAGAGCTCCTTCAGGCAAACCAGAAAGAAAATAGTTTATGGACTGGTTACGGAAAATTTATATAAAAAACTTATAGGTCTTATCATTACTGAGGAAAAACACCTTCATTAATTTTGCATAGGGATAATTGCCAGTGGTGCGGTGGCATTCATCTATTACCAGAAGGCATACCATCTCCAATTTCAGGAATGCACTTCTAAGGACATCCACAAGTATTTGAGGAGTCATAACCAGAACCTGAACTAGTCAAAACATAATATCATTGGCTCATTGCATATAATAGAGAGATCATTTACCCATAATGGCAGATCTATGTGACGGGCTCGAGCAAAAATGACGAAAGAATCAACGCTGGAAGAAGAACCAACCCCAAAATTCTAAGCAGCAAATGTACAAACAAATCGGAAAGGTCTTAACCAAACAGTTAACAAACAAAGAACAAACATTTCTATACAATAAAATCAAATGTCCACGCCAAAAAGAAGATTTAGGCAATGTTCTGTGAATGATAAAGAACTTCTGCAATTTTCTTTTACTATCAGAAACAATAATTGAGCTGGTCAAAGTTGAATGCAACGTTCACCCAGTCTTTCACCAACTGCAAAACTAAGTTGTCACAGAAACTACTAGGAAGTCGTTTGTTAGCATATAAACTAGCAAAAGAGACCCAAACTTACATCGTTCTGACTAAGTTCCTCTTCCCAGCGCTGGGATGTCCATTTATCAACTCCTTTAGCCCCAAAGTACTCTTCAACCTTCAGATTTAGTTGTGCTCTGATCTCACAGCAATGCTAAATGCAAATACAACAACAAAAATTATCGGAAATGATCTCCCATAGTGATACATCATCGAGTCAAAGTGATTAAAACTAAAAAGAACCAAAGAAAACCCCAAAAGACACATTTTTTTTCTTCTCAAATATCAATCAAATCAAAGACTTGCCTGTTTGACAAGATTTACTGTTGGGGCCAAGCAAATGATCAACCTTTTTTCTGAATCAGACGAACCCATTGCTTTGATAAGCATACTGATTATCACTGACTTAACAGTTCCTGTCCCAAGAACAGCTATTATGTTCCTGTCCTTTGCAACCTCGTACACCTTCAACTCATAACTAGCGCAAAACCCAGACCCACAAGGAAAAGAGAGTAACTTTAGTGCGAATCAGCCTAAAACCCCAGCACCTCAGAAGAACACCCAAAATCAAGGAAGAGAGGAAGATAAAAGATACCCATTAGAGTCGATCACCATTGGAGAAGAGGAGCAATCAGGAGCGTTACGATGATCTCCATCGGTTTCAGAGAATTTCCTCTTTAGGGAATTGCTTCCTCCTCCTCCACGTGGTTCTTCTTCAGCCATTCTCTCGGCCCCCAACGCGTAATGCATGACGATGAAGAGTTAAGCCGGAGAAAGGGAACTTCCGAGATAAGATTCTGCGAGAGGAGTATAGAAAAATCGAATTTTGGTTTTGGTTGGTTTATTCGGCTTTACTCTCTCTTACGCACAAAGACCAAAGAAAAAAAAAAAATTCTCTTTTTTTTCTCGTCTTGCTCTGCCACTGGGCAGTGTAATACGATGATCCGGTGAGAGAGAGAAGTTAGCACATGAGCTTCGAACGGGATTTCTTTTCTCTTCTAATTGCATATCCTAACTAGTCAACAACTAAATAAGAAAAACCAAAACTTGGTCAAAGGATAATTTACGATTAGTCAACAACTAAAAATAAGAAAATCCAAAACTTAGTCAGCAGGATAATTTACCTTTTTCAACTTCTGTCGATGTTGTGCTCGGCGAAAGAGCCGGTTCATGAATTCCGGTAGATCGGATGGGACAGGCAGTGAACAATTTGAGCAGTCGTTCTAGACTTGGGCATTCGGATCTTTCAGTGGGGTTCGAATCGGATTCATATACAGTATGACTTAGAAAAAGATCGATTTGATCAATTCCGGTAGATCTCGGGTTTAAGTCGGTTTTGAGTACCCAAATTATTTGAAATATATAAAATAAAAATCTATAATTTGGTTCAAATTTAATAAATATTTGTTTAATAATTTTAAAAAATTTGATTAAATTTTGACAGGACAATTAGATATTCTGACTATTTCTGCTATTTTGATATTTAAAGTTGAAACTGTCAAAGAAAATCTGAACTTTCAAATTTTTGGTCATTCAAAACATCAATTATCGCATGGACAATTAAATTACCAAAATTTGTTGATTTTCAATTTAAATCCCTTACTTTTGGTGATTGAGCCAAATTAGTAATATCCCTTCTATATTTCTGTTTTTGTTCTTAGTCGATTTTTTGTTACGTGTTCTTTTCTTTTTCAAGGGTTCTAAGAAAAAGGTAGAAGATAAAGAAAACCAAATTAAAAAAATTGACGATGAGGAGAAACCAGAAGAATTAGATCAATCACTCATACAACAAACATCAATCTTAACTCTGTTTGTATTCGTTGATATCACCAATAAAACAGGTATGACATGCCATTGAATTGTATATCTTTTATTTCTTCTATTCTAACTACTACGATTGAATTCGTTTTCTTTGACAGTCTGATTATTTTTCTTTGCCTGTTTTTATAAGATTTAAATGTCAAAAGGTAACTCAATATTCCATTCATATTCACTATATACTTATAGTAAATTTTTTTTTATTTTTTAGCTTTTGTTCTACAATTTAGTCAAATTCTTTTCTTTATATGGTTCTTAAGGGTTCTTAATGAAGGTCGGGAGTTGAGGTATTGTCTTAAAACTCTTAGTTTGTCTATTTATATTTCTTTTCGCTTCGTTTTTCTTCTAATTGTTTTTTAGATCATATAAAAACATGCAGTAGAATTATTATAAAAAAAAAAAGGAAAAGCCCATAAACCCTAGAAGTATTTTCGTATAAATACTTTGCTCTTTTTCTCATATTCATTACGTGTTAGATTTTGATTTTGTTCTAGGGTTTAACAAAGTATAAGAAGGTGAAGATGAGGTATAAGAAATAAAATAATATAAAAAATATAAAAAAGATGAGAAGAATAAAAAATAAGCAGAAAAGTAAGAGAATACGAATATGGTGAAAATGATGAAATTGAAGAGGTAAAATACGAGGAAGCAAAAATTCTGAAAGATTAAGAAGAAGAAACAAATAAAGACGAAGTAGAAGTGAAAGAATTCATAGACAAGATAAATAAGAATAAGATAAATTAAAGGAAAAAATGAAGAAAATCAGAAGGAAAAAAGGAAGAAGTTGAAGAAGACAAGAGGATAGAGAAGAAGTAGAATTGAAGACGAGGATGAGGAAGATGAAAAAAATGAAAGATCAAGAAGATGAATTAATCATATATATCTGCATACAAAGCTAAAAAAGATGAATATATATATCCGCATACAAAGCTAATAAAGATAAATTTTTAAAATATAAGGAAAAAGACGTTGAAGCTGAGAAAGGAGACCAAAAGATGAAAATGACAAAGTATAAGAATGTGAAGATGAAGAAAAATTCTAAATAAAACCAATAGAATAAGAAGACGAAAAGAAGATAAATACGATGAACTATGGAAGATCGATAGCACAAAATAAAATTAATGATAAAAATAAAAGGATGAGGAAGTTGAAGAAGAAAAGAAAACCGGAAGATGAAGAAAAAAGTAGACAAAGAAGAAAATCAGAAGTGATGTAGAGTAAGTACAAAAATATGAAGATGAGTGATAAATAAGACAAAGAATATCAAAAAAAAGGAGTAGTAAAAATTGGAAAAAAATAAAGATGAAAAAGAAACTAGAGAATACGATAATAGTAATGATGAAAAAACCATAAAGAGAATATGATTGGTAAATGTGGTTTAATATTTACTTTATTTGAAAATGCTGATAGTTTTTTTATTTATTTAATATATCGTATCAATGATTGCATACTTTGATATTATCTAAAACTATGAATGGATTGAAAGAACCATATTATATTTATTTAAAATATATGTGGATATATATTATTAAGACTAATATACATAAGAATTTCATAATTCCATTTCCACTTTGAGAACATATATATACAATTGATTATAATGAAAATTGAAAGTAATTTTACAAGCTAATTATCTAAAAATTTAATTTATAATTTTGAATGTAATTTGATAATTATTAAAAACTCTCCAAACAATATACTCAAAATTTGTACTTTATATATCTTGAAACATTAAGGGTTTATACATTGCTTATTTTATGTCTTCTATAGGGTGATAAAGTCATGCGACGTTAGTCGATAATTACGTTGCTGATTTCTCAGGAAGTATTGCTGAAGGTGACTGGTTTCTCTTAGTTGACTTTGATCTTATTCCCGTGACTGAAAAGTTCAGGTTCACATCGCATCATTTCAAAATCCGTTGGAAAGATACAACAGTTTTCCATAAAATTACATCTCGAGGTAAAGAGCAATTTTTGAGCTTCGTAACGTTTGATAAAATCAAGGCCGATATAGTCGACACTTCGATTTCTGTAGGTATTTTATTTCAAATTAACCTTTTTAGTACAATCTGTAATTCTATTTTTCTGAATAAAATATAAAAATAAACAACGACTTTTTTTTAGATCTAATTGGTCAAATAATAGATGTTGGAAGATTTGTTGGCCGCTCTTCTTTAAAACGAAGTCGTAGTTGTGGGAGTGTGTTTTTCGAGCTAGGAGATGCGAGGTTTGTTTTTTATTGTCTTAAATAATTTATATATCATGTTTGTGAATATTTTATCATGTTTATCATTGACATTAAGCTCTCTGATTTTACTAATTTGTAGCGGTCGTCGTTTAAGTGCATCTAGATGGTGATCACTCGGAATTTTTTTAGGATCTCTACTTAATTGCAAACAACCTATTGTCATCTGTGTTTTAAGGTTTATAAAGGTGATCCAAGTGCATGACATCTGGATTGTTACAACAACCTTCAAATGTAGTAAAGTTTTGATTGATCATCCATTCTCTGAAGTTCACCGATTCAAGAAGCTTATTTTAGAGACTTAGACATAGAACATTTTTTCTGAAGGAATATTTATTAAAGTTTGTTTTGTTTACTATCTCAAAATACCATTTTTCTATATTTGATTAATATTAACGGTATAATTTTATTTATTTATTTTATTATTTTAAATAAATGTTGTTCATCTAAAAAAAAATGATATATATTGAAAGTTTAACAAGAAATATTATACAATTTAACTATTATCCATAAACTCAAATATTAAAATATTATATAACTTCTTAAATATATAAAGTCCGCGCTTGGCGCGGACAGTCACCTAGTGTTATATATAAAAGACAATTAACTCTCTCCAGCTGAGTGACACATCAGCAATGGAAAGAGTGACATGTGTCACATCCAAAAATTTATAAAATAAATAATTAATTAAATTTAAAGTAAACACATTTTGTTAATGAAATCGTTTTACTTAACTGTGATTTACAATAGATTTTTAACTTTGTTTATGTGTTCTGTTTAAACAATGTGTCAAATTGGGTTCAATCAATAAAAGTTAGGAATTTAAATTGAAACTCAACATACTTTAATGATTTAAAATGTCTACGCGTATGATGGTTTAAACATTTTTTTTTTTGAGGAAATGTTAAATTTATTTATTTTTTATTTATTTAAATGTTTCCTTTACATATGCAATCTAAAAAGAAAAGAAATCAAAATATATATATATATATACAGAGATTCAAAACAAAGCAAAAAGTTTTTGCTTAAAATGTGTTTTAAGACTTTGTTCATCAACAGGTGCCAAACCAGGTTGTAAGGCCATCATTATAGCTTTGATCTCCTGCTGATCGCATAAAGCTCAGTCGGTTTCAGACAGTTATGTCCAAAATTGTGATCATAGTGACAGCTGGTATTGGGATTTCTCCATATCGATAGGCATTCCTCTCTCTCTCCAGACCAATGTCAAAGTTGCCTAGAATGTATATCATGCAAGAAACAGTTCTGTTCTATTCAGAATCCTTGATGTGAGCAATGGCACAATCTCATCCCACGTCAAGGAATAGAGACCTAATACTAATATGATCCTCCCTGAATCGGCACTCTAAGACTGGATTTGACAAGCCTGAACTTCTGAAATACAACGGACTGAAGGTAAAGGTATGAATCGAGGGGTCGCACAAAGGCTGCGGAAGACCTTTGATTTACCGGTTTGATTCTGAGGATATTACACACCTAAAAATCGGGTGTTTGAGAGATATAACACACTCACAAACTAAGATGTTCAAAGAACAAATGATCTTTACTTTAGAAAGGTTTTTAGATAAAAGGAAGATGGTTTCTCAAATGAGATTACAAGAGAATATAAAGGAAAAGAAGAGAGTCTCGGCCATCAATAAACATGTCTAGGAAATACAAGTGTGAGCTATCTAAGTTGAATTCAAATATCCCCACACGCTCCTCTTCTCTTGGCCGACTCTCTCTTGGGCTAAACTTAGTGGACCTTATTGAAAGGGTGATCCAACCTTGCCTCATTAAAAACCCATCACTAGAAAACTCATTGGGACAAAACTAGTGGTGGGGAAAAAGAGTACAAGATTGGATCACAAGTCCACTTAGCTTCAAGGACTTGGATCACAACCAAAGTATTTGTGATGAACTCTTTTCCCTCTTGAGCCGAGTGTTGTGCTCGCCTTAGAACTCCTCATACGGCCTCCTTAAGCTTCTTAGTCCTTGATCTTGTCATGGGGCCATTCGGAATGACTAAAGCGTCTTCTTGTTCAGACTCTTACTCCTCAGCTACAAGCTCTCCTTCGTCAGGTTCTAGCTCTATGTCTTCAGTGCTGTCCATGATCACATCATCTCACCTTTCTTGAAAAGGATT